GGTTGGAGCCGAAGGAATGGGGCCGATGCATTCTTTGATCTCTAAGATTCCGTTGACCATGTGGCAATTGAAACGAATAGATTGATCGATAGTTACTACAGAGGTATCATCTTGACGGGTGATAGAGACGGAGTCCTTTGATAGGGTCCCCAGAGAGAGCAGGTTGCGGGAAAGACCGGGAACGTAAAGGGATCCAGGTAGCTGAATGATTTTGCCTGTGGAATCCATGATGGAGGCAGTGCCCTCAAGGGTTGCGACCAGATCTGCAGAGTTCTTGCCGGTGCTGATAGGCGTATTGCAGGCATGAGTGTCGGTAAAGAAATCCATGTTGTTGAACATGTGGTGGGATGCGCCCGAGTCGAGGACCACAGGGAGGGTTTGTGGAGTAACGGACAACATGATAACAGTGGTGATATGACTGAAAGCTGGTTTTTCAAACTGGGAGGCGACAGGAGGGATCGCGCTGGAGTTCACAGAGTTTGAGGGAGCTGATGTGTGGTGCTGAGAGGGATTCTGGCGAGGTTTTCTTATGGGCCGCATCTCTGGGTGCAAGGACCAGCAGGTGGCTTCTGGGTGTGTAGCATCTGGATGATGCTTACCATTACGACAACCTGATGGAGGACGAGTTCGGGTGTTGTTGAGAGCCACGGCCGATCTTTCCTTTCTCTTCGGTTCCTCTTCTTCTTCTTCCGCGACGTCTTTGAGTCTTGCGATGAGGAGCAGATGGTTTTGCATGATGTCTGCATTGAAGACAAAGGAATCGGTGAGAGCTCGTCTAGTGTGTGATAGTTTCGACACAATCACACTGCAGACGTCCTTGCTGGGCATGGGATGAGCTATGGACGCAAAGGCATCGAGAGAGTCTTGAATATCACGGATGAAAGGAAGCATTTTTCCTTCATATTTGATTGCATGCCAGTTGGTCATGCACTTCGTGTACCGATGGGTGGTGTATCGAGCATAGGTGTCCTTGACGTCCTTCCAGATCAAGTAACCATTGTCTTCGTTTTCTTCCGTGACCAGGCCGTTGTGGATGAAGTCGGCGATCCTCATGGTGATGGCATAGCCTGCTTCCGCCATTTGCTTCTTGATTCGAGCAGTGGGATTTGGTCCAGGGTCGGCGATGACGACGCTCCATAGATCCTTGCTTTTGAGGAAAGACCTCAACCGTTTGGTCCACATGGGGAAGTTGCTTTCCCCCTTCAACATCGGTAGAAGAGCGAGTTCCTCTTTGAACGAAGGAGTTGCGGCTGCCATTTCTTGTCCGTGCCCTTGTAGAGTTTTGTCCTAGGAAAGCTGAGGTATGGTCCTGCGTCGAGACTGTAAATCTGTTAGAATGGCAAAACTAAAGATTCATATTTCTTAGTCAGAATTGTGTCACAGGAGCACAATGTGGAGAGAACACGAATAAGCTGCCTTACCTAAAGGGCAGGGACGGGCAGACAGAGATGAAGAGAGAGAAAGAGAGATCACGACACAAAGAGGTCGGTTTGCTCAAGTAATGTAACAAGAAAGAGAACAGGAAGATCGCGTAGTGCGATAAGAAGAGAAAGAAGATAAAGATTTGAACAGGAAAGTCGCTTGAAGCGAGACAATGAAGAATGGAAGGGGGTGAGGATGTGGAAACGCGGTACGAGGTCGTTGCGAGTCTACTTGGTGATGTGGGAAGTTAAAAGGTATGGGTCTTGGATGTGGATCGGGGTATGGTGGTTGATCTGAGCTATCGTATTTTTGATAGGAAGAGTTGCAGATGAGGACAAAGGCAGAATGAGACGATGAGCTTGATTTATGGGTTCTCATGAGGTCTAAATTCATCCGCTGACTCACGGGTATGACTGGGTCGGTTCATCGTGTCTATTCTTCCATCAGGAGAGTTTGCACGGTATCCTGTACCTGGTTAGGGTCGGTTTGTATTTCTTCCTGTGCATCGATGTCTGTGACAACGGTATTCAGGGTAGAGTCAGTCTCAGTTGCAACTTCACAGGTCAGGGGCTAGGGCCCAGCCTGGTTTAGTTCAAAAGAGAAAAAGAGTCGTACTTACGATCAGATATTTGCTTGAGTAGTTTATCGGTTGCATTGGTTGCCGCGATGGGATCTGTATCTTGACAGATTCGGCAGAGACCGGTGATCGAGAGGGGTACTTTCGGATCTTGATGACAGGAGCATTGCCCTTAATGACTGACATAGGTTGGATGGGTCATCTCATCATCTAGAGAAGTGCCTCTTCAATGATGGACACAAACTCTTGGTATCCTGCCACCAGCCAGTGAAGCAAGTGTGTCGATTTGTCTCTTAATATGACTAGTTGGTCATCTGCAAGTGTTTCATCCCTTTTGTGAACAGAGCCTTTTATGACTCATGAGCAACAACTTTTGGGACCCTTGTGACCAAACCTCAACCTAATTATTGTGTTGAACTGTTTTACATGAGGATAAGAAGTTTTGACTATTTGGGACATTTTTCCTGGATAAACCTGTTGGAATTTTGGTGTGTCCTTCATGATGAGCTCCAGCCTTCACCCTGCTGGAAAGGGCCAATAGGATTCAGAAATTGAAGCATAAATTGTAATTAATGCATCAGCACAAAAATCATCAACAAGCTTTGTAAGATGCTTAGGGTCTGCTTAAATACATAATCCTGACCAAAAATAATTTATGTGTTGAGGATGTTTAGATCATTTCCACTGGGCAAGATTGTGCAAGTTGCTCACTTTCTCTAAACTGTTCAGCTGTGGTGCAGTTATAGCAACACAGTGAGATTTTAATTTTCTCTACAACCCAGGACAAAACCCCATTTTACCTCCTGTTTGTTTATAAGTGCCCTCAGTGGAAGCTGTATTTTGGGTTTGGGAAGATGAATTCAGTTTACTTTTGAAATATACCCCACAGGTGGAGATGGTCTTACAAATCTCTGTGGTGGCAACTATAAATAGTCATCATCCTTTGTACAGTATATGGATGATGATAATTGAATAGGATGGACCATATTTGACCTAGGGCGGGCCAATTTTTGGGTTCTGTAATACTGTATAAGAGGACTCTGGGGACTGCTGTTCAATAGGTACTGTAAAAAATGGGTATTTTAATCAGAGCCATCAAATAATGTAGATTCATTGTAATTATGAAAAAAGTATATATTGACATTGACATCATTCTCATATTCACAACCTGAACTTGAGTACATTAAAAGTAAAAAAAAAATACAGCTGCAGTCAAAGTAGTGACTTGATATTGGAAATTGTGTCAAGTCTCTTTATATAGACCTTATGGAATATATTTAGTGGGCACTTGAGTGTTTGTAGCAATACTTTGAGATGAGGTGGGTGGCCAGGAAAACCACAGTTTTGATATTCTTGCCCACCTGAGCCAAGTGAAAATTGATGTTGCTAGTTGATTAGAAAAGCATCTGTTGAATGGAAGACACATTTGCTTTACAGCTTGTGTTTTTCACAAACAGTTTCTTTTCTAACAAAACTGCCTCCCCTAAGCTCCATTCAATTTGTCAATCCCTTTTGGGGGCTCAGATTAAATCATGTATCTCTCTTCCTTTGAGGATCTTAAAACAACTCAGCTTTGTTTTTAAATCATTAAAGCTTGAGAAATTGTTTTGGATAATCTTCAAAAGGAATATTAGATGAGAGATACTTGTTGCATGATTACAAAAGGACTCCCCAATTTTTTATTCTCAATGTTTTCAAAATTGTCTTGGTCAAATGATCATATCAATGGAGTAGTTCAATCATGGCACATCATAATCCAAAAATTCAATATATATTGAGGGGCTTAGTTAATTGAATCCTATATGTTGGAGAGTCAACTCCCAAACTTCAGGAACATCCTGAGGAATTTCTGCAGACAGTCTCAGCAATGGTGGTCCAGTTGTGCTAACTGTCAGCCATCGTGATGCCAAGATGGTAAATCTTCTAGCTACACGTGGTGCAAAACTTAAGATGACAGAGTTTGAGCTCTGGGACTACAGAGTCCGGTGGTTAATTCCAATGATTATTGGTAATTACAAGGTTATTAGATAGTAGAAATGAATAATTATATCAATAAATATTGATATAATTAAAACAGAGGGGCCTGATAAATCAGGGGTTGTTTAATCCCTCAAAGGTATCGTGCAAAAGCAGAGGATTTAGGTACCTGTTAACACTGGGGCCTGTTTAACAGGGGTGGTTTAAATCCCAGAAGAAAGTAGTAAGAATCTCAAGAAAGAAGGGGGCATTATGTACTAATAAAGCCCCTTAAGTCTTGAGGTTCTGATAGACAGAGAATTAAAGCAAGAGACAATACATTACCAGACAGATACAAATGTTAAGCATTTGGGACGGTGGGTAATCTAAAGTGGGTTGTAATAATCTGAGGAATTCTTTTTTAGGGGGACAGAGGGCTCTTTATATACCCGTGGAGTCATCTGGGAGATCAGGGTCAACTTTTGGGCGCTTCATTCATGGAGGCTGAAACATGTGTCCATCTCTTTGGAAATGTGCCACAGGTGTTCTGTAGAAGATGCAAGCTGAAACCTGTGGCTATTTCCTTGGAAATGCGCCACACATGTGTTATCAATATACAAATGTATGTTTGAAACAGACAATCAGTTTCAAGTCTTAAACCTGTTTATTATCATATTTAATTACAAACATAAGCATATTTAACTTCCTGCTTGGAGGTACACCCTATATCTTTAACCTATTTTTGCTGCATGAAGTAGTTGAAATATAGGGTACCTTTGAGTGAGGTACCCTAGGTTATTCTTCATATAGATTAAGAATATTGAGAAATAATACCATTATTATTTGATCTTCTCATTTATTTCCTGCACTATTCAAAATAATGTCTTTTTGTATTTTCTACAGTGTTTGTGTACTATGACAGGTTGTCTCTGCTATAGTAGCAAGCTGACACTAACTATAGTGTCAGTGCAGCATAGTGTTAGCTTTCTAAGCTACACTACAAAAAAGTAACTGTTAGGCATTAGTGCCTACCAGCTTAATCACCTTAAATGGACCAATATATTGGTAATCTAACTTTGAATTCAAATAACGGGCCTGAATAACTTTCCTTAGCAGCAGAACCTCCTCACCAACCTGATAAATTGGAGACTCCTTCTTCCCTTTAATATAATACTTAGCCTGTTGAAGCCTCACTAATTAAGTAAAACATTCCATCACAGTTTCCTGAGTCACCTGTAAATCATACACAAAGTCAACCAGATCTTGTCTCCCAGTCAATTCTATCATTATGTTGAATCTAGGATGGTTTCTATTGTGGAAATACTCTTGGATTGAATTGAGCTGGAGAGGGAAAGATGCTTTAATGGGCTGACTCTTTGGTAACTGGGCTGATCAAGATAACAAGAAAAGATAAGAGTATGGACTCTTAAGGAAAGGTGTGGCTTTGGAGTATTCTTGAGATGGGTATGTCTTCTGTCTGAATAATACTAGTATCCCAAATGTTGATGGGCAACTACAATCAAAGCTCATGAGATCTCAACAACAACGTTGCTGGACCACTCCAACCATTTGAACGTTGCGGCTGCTGTTGCCAAATCTAAAGGAAGACCTCAATGCTACACATGCGGGGAGAAAGGTCATCACTCGACCGACTGTCCAAACAAAAAGAAGAACTTCAAGGCTTTGGCAAGATCGGTTGAAGCCCGGGAAGGCGCAACCTTGGTGGCTCAGCTAGGCAAATATGAATCAAACAACAACAAAGATGATGTTTTTGACGAAGAGATAGAGGTCTGGGGCTAATGGGACGGAAGGTCACCACACATTTATCTTTGTAGGGCGCACAACTCCGGTGCAAACTTATGGTTAATTTCTATTGTCGGTCTGTTTTGAGACAGTGGCTGTTGTGGCCTCTCCCAGTCTTCTCCCTATCTACATAGAATCTCTGGCCTGGTTGATTTTTTATTTCTGTTCCCTTCATGAGATTTTTTTTACTAGAGGCTCCAAATAGTTTTTTTTATCTCTACCATTTACACCTATTGGTTTTGTTCTCAGCAAGGGGGTGTGTTGGATATGCTTATAGCCAGGCTGTATGCTTCTATCCAAACCATAGCTTGTATATAGTTGTGACTGTCTCTCATCCAAGATTCCTTCCTCACTGAATCTAAACCACAATTTATCTTCTTGTCCAGTCACTGTCACAAGAACTTGCGTCTGTGACTTTCAGTCCCCTTCAAGCCTGGTCCACCTCAACATCAAGCAAGAGCTTCAATTCTGATGTATCTACAGAAGAAGTCATGATAAGAAAATCAAGTTTTCAAATCATCAACAAAAGAACAAGACCTTACCAGTGCCAAGACCCACAAAAAGCTTGAAAACTGATTAAGCATCCAATTATTAGTCCTAGTCTTTATAACTTGGAAAAAAGGGAAGAAAAAAAAACTCACTGATAAACACCATAATAGCCAAACCAGAAATGACAAGCAGCATGATTTCTTGCAAAGAAAAAAAAATAACAGGCATGATGGCTGTAAGATTAAACAAGTCCAAAAATAAATCTTGAGTAATCACTATGTACTCATCTGGCTTGATGTTGGAAAGGTGGTTTGAAAGAAAAAATGCAACTTTCTCAATGTGTTTGTTGAATTTTGGGAAATGGTCTGTGAGGAGATGGGGGATAGGGTTAGGACTCCAGCAGCATATATATTATAAAGAAAACAACTGAAGCTTGGAACTGACTGGACAACACATTGGCAATTAACATTACCACCACCGGGGCAGCAATGGTGAAATTTGGCATGGGATCGGAAATGATGTTGTATATGATACAGAAAGGTTGGACAGATACTAGAAATGGGGTGGTGTATCCGCTTCAGCCTGGCAAAGCCAGATTTGTAAATGTGACTGTCTCCCCATGGCTCCATCATGGCCAGACTGGCCATGCAGCCTCCAGACTCAGAGGCATCCAACACTTGACCAAGGCCAGGCCATCAATGGCCATGGCCATTGTGGGGCTTAGGCTCTTCATGCTACTGACTAGAGCCCAACTTTTGACGTAACCCACATTCAATCCAGCAGTAGCTGCTTTCACCAGGAACCCACTAGCCAGCTGCCACCAACAACAACCAAAGAACAGAATGACAACATGGCCAGAACAACTCAACACCACACCCACTCTCAATTCTACGTGAACACACCACCTAGAGATGGTTGTGGGGTCTCTGTTGCAGATACTCGCTATCCGCTAGCGGATACCCCCCAGCGCCAACGGATACCTACCAAGGGTTATGGATTTGGTGCCGTTTCCCCCCCCCAAGCCTGACGGTGTGGTGTGCTGTGCCTGTTCCAATGCCAAAATCATCCAGCTGAGGTTTGAGTATAGTATAGTTACATGCATGTAACAGTCATTACAAGAGAAGGAACAATCATTATGGATGAGATGTGGTATATACGGACAAGATTACATACAATGAGTGGATTGCGAGAACATGGCTCGACCAGGAATGGAACAAAGGAGCGATGTGCATACTAGGAGTGGCGTGGGAGAAAACATCTCAACCAGGACTCCCTTGCATGCATATTATGTGACAAGGTCTGGAGTTAAGTGTTCCTAGCACAGCATAAGCTGCGCTATTTGTTTGGTGGCCGTGCGCAAAGGCTGTGAAGGTGAGATCCCCTGCAGCAATATTCCCTCACAAGGAGTCCCCTGCAGCAGAAATCCCTCACTCTTCAATATAAAAGAAGGGCCTCTCCCCACCAGAAAGTCCCTTCTCCCCATCAGCCTACAGAAGTCTCGCAGAGCAGTAAGTTGGTCCTGAGCTACTGGAAGTGTTCCGGAGTGTCAGTAAAGTGAAGAGTTAAAATTAGTGATAGTTAGTTAGTTAGTGAAGTTAGTACATCATCCTACTGCGGTAAGTTGGTCATAGTTAGTTAGTGAGTTAAGTAGTGAGTTAGTTAGTGATACGTAGCAAGTTATAACAGTATTGTAAGTGTGAAACCAACACAAAGTTCGGAATTTGAAGCTTATTAGTAGTAGTAGTAATCATATAAGTTGTAGTACATTAACAATTAACAAATAAAGAAGTAGTAGTAGTATTAGCACCAGAGATCTAGTTTCTGATTAAAGTGCCTTAGCAAGAAATTGTTCAAGGAAGAGATCATTAACAAACTCTATAACAACTCATCTGTTTTGTGCTCAAGTCATCAGCACCACAATTTCCATTATTAACCTGAGGTTGTAACAGATTCATTAGTAGATTGATACGTGATCTAGGTCTGATAGAGATACTTACGAAGTAGATCTATCTGGATCAGC